ATATATATATATATATATATATATATATATATATATATATATATATAATTTTAGACATGCCTATGTGTACTGCTAACTCAATGCTAGATGTGTGCTAATAATTTAAGAAATGTGTCTTTTTGCTTTTCATCCTTTACATATCTGCTCAACATAGACAGCTCTGCTCAATAAATTTTTATTTTTATATAACTTTTATGTAGCCATATGGCTTGTAAGGCTCTGAGCTAGGGCTGAAGTTTTATTATTTTTCTCTCTCATATATATATATATATATATATATATATATATATACACACACACACACACACACACACACACACACACACACATACATACACACACTGGGGATCAAACCCAGAAATTCTCACATACTAAGCAAGCAATCCACCATGAGTAGAGCCCCAGCCCTGAAGTTTTATCATTAGGGCCTCACTAAGTTGCTAAGGCTGATTTTGATCCTCCCGCCTCAGCCTCCAAGTTGCTGGAATTACAGGGTGCAATACTCTGCCCCACTGGCCATACAGTTTTTATTAGAGGATTCAGATATCACAAAACAATGCTCCTGGTCATGGCCCACTAGAGCCTCCTTTGATATCTGTGATAGAATAGTAGGTGTACCTTGCTTGATCCATTAAATATTTCAAAGATATCTGATTTTTATAGTTTGATATTTCCAAATTGTACATTACAGTCCATCTCTGCCAAAATAGGATGTGATATTTCTAGAATAGGAACCAGATAGCTCTGTGTTTTTCTCCACTACTGTTTTTCTCTAATTGGTCTTGATTGGTCTCTGTGTACCTGGCTAAAGCAAACCACTTCTTTATATTTTGCTTTCTTTATATGTAAAATGGGGACCAAAGTGCCAGATCCAAAGCTGTGTGCAGAATTTCTCTGATCTCTTTCTTAATGTGCATAAGCACAGATGATTCCTATCCATCATGGATTTTGTTTGTTGTTATTGTTTTCTCAGCACATTTCTGAGGAAAGGAGAGTTCACAGTGAGTTCGTGGGGTTTTCCAAATGAGATTCTGTACCTTGTACAAATTTTGGACATGCCTATGTGTACTGCTAACTCAATGCTTGATGTGTGCTAATAATTTAAGAAATATGTCTTTTTGCTTCTCACCCTTTACGTATCTGCTCAAATATTCAATAAATGAAATTTCCCTGACCAACTTAAGATCAGGTATCTCAGTCAATCGACAGCTTTGCATCATTTTCGCAATCTACTGAATTAAGAGTTAGGGGGAGCGTGAATTCTTAATTTTGTCCTGTCAAATATTTCTGTTTATTCACTGCCTATTCATTAGATAACTTTTCCATGAAGACAGTCTTTAAAAAAAAATCAATAGCACATAAATGTTGACGTGACCAAATTATGTGTCCCATATTTTCAAGAAACAGAATATTCATTAACAACACCAAATGTTTTATTTTAAACTGAACTCCTCTACAATGGACTAGCAGAGTCTGAATTTCTCAAGAGTAAGCATAAGCACAAAACATTACGCAACTGTACTAAATTAAGTAAAACCAAACAGACATTTTTAAATACCAGAAGTTGCCAAAAAAAAAAAAAAAAACCTAGAGTTTACACAAAGACTGCAAGAATTCAACACAGTATTAAAACTTTTGCAATACAATGTAAATCAACTTCACTTTTCCATGACTTATTTGCATATGTATTCTACCTATTAAATAATGGATAAAAAGGAACTCTATAGACATATAGTCTCAATTCCTACCTGCCCATATGAAGGCTAATAATCTATAGCTAACACAATAATTTATCTAGTGATTTACAAACCCAGGGTCAAACTAAACTGAGTCTTATTTAATCCCACATGCATAATAGGCTGCCAATCCCTGCCTCGCTACAGCAATGCCAGGCCTTGTATTTTTCTAACAGTCGTTTCCATCGATCCCAAGACAGCTCCAGGCCCATCTACAGTAGGGATGATGCAGTGGACAGGTGGATCACTTGAATCTCCCTCTGATCCATTACTGAGTTCGTGAAGACAGCTGAAGTTTCAAAGCCAGATGATCTTGATTGTGTTTGTGGGCAAATGTCTACTTCATTCTTGGTGGATAATGTAGAAGTTACTCTAAGTTTAAAACTTTAATTTTGAACAATTACAGAGACTCATAAAAGAATTTTCTGAGTTTTAAGAAAACTTGTAGAATGTTTCCTCGAAATTTGAAAGATAATAACAAAGACTCCAAAAGGCCCCTGAAGACCACCAATCAGAGTTCTGTTCAAATGCCATGTTAGTCATTATTCAAAATGCATTAGAGAGACTGGGGTTGTGGCTAAGTGGTAGAGCACTTGCCTGGCCCATGTGAGCCCTGGGTTAGATCCTCCACACTACATAAAAATAAAGCAAAGGTATTGTGGCCATCTACAACCAAAACAAATTTAAAAATGCATTAGAGATGTAAAACTTTATTATGAAAAAATCACTATTATTCACACCCATGGCAGTTAAGTGTCTAAATTTATATTTTCTAACCTGATAGCTAGGAATAATCTCAATGTTCCTAATAACTTTAAGACCTAAGGAACAAATTCTCATTTTCCAAAATTAGGGGTTGGACTTACCCCACGCAAGGTAGATTATTTCTCTTCCATATATTTTTAAAAGGTATTTTGAACTTAAATAATTGAGAATTTGATTTAAAATACCAGTCAAGCTAGGCAAACAAAACTTCTTGGCAGAATTGTCAAGATCATTGTACTGTCATGTGTAACTAATATAAATAAATAAATAAATAAATTTGCATGAAATATATTTTTTAAAAAACTTCTTGGCAATACACTTTCTCACATGTAATTAGAAATTTTCATTCCTGTTTGGAATTCATTCTAAAGAACAATACCTTTTAAAACTCTGTCATGGATTATCAGAGTCTGGCTAATTTTGCCTCACTTCTGAAATTAACTAGAGATAACTGGCCTACCCAAAGGTCAATCCTCTCTCTTCCTCTGCTTTTGTCTCCCATAAGTAGAGATATAAGTAAGTAGCTCCTGACCAATCTCCCTTGTGAAACCAAAACCAGATATTTACCAAGTTTGCACAGAATATTACCAGATACTGTCCAGGACTAAGGAGTAAAGCACAGGTGATCCATAACTCCTGTAGAATGTGGAAAAGTGTCCTACCAAGGGAAATCTGAGACCTCTGGTCCTCTCAGTTTATTTTCTTTCCCTAGAGAGAAATCGAGAACAATGTGGAATGTGAGGGAAAACAGAACAAAGGAGAAAGCAGATCACATTTCTGATTTCTTTTGATCCTTACAGCAACTTCTGAGATAAGGATATATATATATATATATATAATATTAACACAGTTCTCTGTCCAGAAAAACAGCATTTACACAAACAATTACAATAAACTAGTCCAAGTTATATTGGACCAATTGGAGCAAAGGGGTGTGGGGGCATTTAAGTCCTTGACAGAAAGCAGTAATGAATAGTGTGTAAAGAACCATTAGCAGGTGCGCTCCACAGCAGCAAATACCTAGCTCAGGACGTTCAGGGCTGGGCATCCAGCTCCTCAAGGGGGCGCTGGAACCTCGCTCCCGGGCTACTTCTCCCGGTCCTGACTTTGGTACCAGGGCAAGTGGAGTTCCCGTAGAGCGAGAGTCAAGGAAGGTTTTCAGGTGAGATCAGGGGTTGGAACCCCGAGAGGCAAAGACGAAGGCCTGGAACAGGGAGCTGGAATCATTATTCTTGGCAGTCACCGCCAGACTCCAGGCTTCTTCATCCCATATCACCCAGGACACACCACACACACACACACACACACACACACACACACACACACACCATCCACACCCTGCCGTGCACAGCAGTTGTTTCCGTATTTCAGAGACGAAAAAAAAAAAAAAACAGGTGTCCTTAGCTGCTGTCCTCATTTCAGAGGGGTGGGCACGGAACGAGCGGGCCTTGGCCCTAGTCCCCAGTCCCCAAAGGATAAAGCCGAGAACGAGCTACCAAGCCATGTTAGGCAGCAAGAGCAAAAAGAGAAAACAAAAAGCAGACAGCTGCTGAAGGCGAGCGCTGAGCCAACGCGTGGGGGCGCCAGCGACACCCTCTTCTCAGTTTGCAAATCGCCCGGCGGGGAGCGCGGGGAAGAGAAAGAGGGGTCGATTTCCAGCAATAATACCTCCCTTCTCCACTACACTTAATGGGTCGCTGTGCCAAGCTCAGGTGTGGATCCCTGCGGTTTTGCTTTAGGAAGCGGTCAGTGCGCGTTCTCGGCTGCGTACTGAGTGTGAGGTGGTCCTCACACTCATCATCATCTGAAGATTTGGTCAACTCAAATTGCGGGCGCAGCCAGTGTGCTTCCTAGTCACTAGGTCTTGGTGGGACCCGAGAATCTGCAACCCTAGGACTCCGGGAAAGCCTGTTGGCGACCAAATTGTCAAACTTCTGGACCCACCGGAGCTAGCAAGGCTGGTGGGGAAACAAGGCGCGCGCGGGGGTCCTCAGGGCTCCGCGCGGCACACCGTAAGCTGGCGGAGGCTCTTGCGGAAACTGTCGTCCAGGAAAGCGTAAAGGAAAGGGTTGAGGCAGCTATTGGCGTAGCTCAAACTAGTGATTAAGTAGGAGATAGCGATGACAAGCGGGGTCTGCGGGAGGTCGGTGGTGAGCGCCACCACGGTGCTCAGGTGGTAGGGCGTCCAGCAGAGGAGACATACGGCCAGGATGGCCACTACCAGGAAGGTCACTCGCTTCTTGGCGCGATCCAAAACCTTGGCGTGGCTGTGGAGCCGAATGGCACGCAGTCGGCACAGCAGGGTGATGTAGAGGGCACAGATGGTGGACACTGGGATAGCAAAGCCCAGCACCAGCGTGTAAAGGCGACTCGCCCGCCACCATAAGGCCTCGGGCTGTGGGAAAACCAGCACGCACTGGCGCCGGCCCTGCTCCTCGTCGAGCCTGGCGAAGATGGCAAAGGGCAGCACCACAAGCGTGACGAGCCCCCACACCGCCAGGCTCACGGCGCGTGCAGCGCCGTACGTGCGGCCAGCCACCCGGCGCGACTCGGCGGTGGCCAGCACCACCAGGTAGCGGTCGGCGCTCATGACCGTGAGGAAGTACAGACTGGAGAACGTGTTGTATTGGTCGATGGCCACGATGAACTTGCACATGAGCTCCCCGAAAGGCCACTGCCTCAGCAGGAAGTCGGCGATGTTAACGGGCAGCACCAGTGTGAAGAGTTCGTCGGCGATGGCCAGGTTGAGGATGAACAGGTTGGTGACGGTCTTCATGCGGGGCGCCCGCAACAGCACGTACAGCACAGCCGAGTTGCCGACGAGCCCCACAACGCAGATCACCGCGTAGACAACCGGCACCGCCACAGCCAGCGACTGTGGCAGCGGCAAAGGCGCGGGGTTGGACGTGTTGGGGCATCCCAGCCCGGGACCCCAGCACGACGCATTGGCCCCGCCGGGTCCCAAGAACGACACGTTATACATCTCGTCAAAAGCAGGAGAGCTGGCGACCCCCAGACTCCCACAGCCTCCCCCTCGCGTCTCCGCAGCTCAGAAGCCCTCGTAGGCACACCGTGTACCGGGACCCTAGCTGCTGCTCTCCAAGACCTTCTTTGGTTTTCCTGGGGAGGGGCGTTTCCTGGCACCCCCCAGAGCACTGTCACTCCGGGATTCCAGGGCTAGAAAGCTGAAATGAAAACACAGATTAGGCCGAGATGGGGCCAGCACCCCAAACCTCCCCCACCCCCACCAAGTGAGAGTTACCTGTTGAAATCTCTTTCCAACCAACTGAATACATCAGAGTGAAAAGACATCTTCATGGGAAAATGCAAGTCCCTCTCCCTTGTTTTAGGACACCCCTGGCACACCCGGTCACCCCACGGAATTCTGCAGAAGCATGCTTAAGTCTCCCTTAGTTCCAAGAACCCTCAGTAAAAGCAAGCTCCACATCGATTTTTACCTTACCTGGCTAGCCCCAGAAAACAGTCTGCCTTTCCTGGAGAGGTCCAGAGGAGAGTCCGTTGCCTGTGGGAGGACGCTGTGGCGCCCGCCCGCTGGGTATATGCCTTCTGGCGCCCCCCCCCCCCCCCGCCCCCCCCCCCCCCCAGGCAGCCGCTACCGCCTCCGCGGGTCCTTCCAGAGCGCCTGGAAGTGTGGGGACTGCGCAGTGGCTGCCACAGGTCTCCACAGACACGACTGACAGTCCCCCTCCTCCCACCACCACCATTCTTAGTTAAAATCCCTTGGAACTAACAGAAAACGGCATTCCTCTAAAATATAAGGGATTTTTTTTTGTTGTTGTTCCTTCTGGAAGTGTAACCTCACTCCAATAATAAAAAGCTTTCCTGTTAAGAATTGAATTTAAGAAAAACAAAGTTAAGGTGTTCATAAACTGTTTTAAAAGGAGGACAATGCAGTTGAGGCTCCCATTCTATGTTTTTAACACCATGCCCCAAAGGAAATAATGTAATTTGAATCTGCAATTGCCTGCATACCACATTGCTATACTGTAGGGGAAAGTGCATGTGATTTTAAAGTGAAAAAAAAAATCATTTTCTAATACTACAGTCTTCGAAAGTTAAAACATTGTTAGTGTCAAATAAATTATTTGAGATAGTTTCACATTCTTTAAAAATACATGTGAAACTTGATTAATAAAGACAAACCGTTTCAAAATCTTTTTAGGGCACCCTGTGACTTAATGCATGTTTCATAATACGTTGCAAATTATTCAGTACATTCTCTTGATTTTCAAATACTCATTTTTAATCCTCAGGCTAATGAGAGTTACTTACAGTGTCTGCGTGGGGTTGCCAAGGGAAGCAGAGCAAAAGCAGTGTTGGACATTAATATTGCTATCTCCCTGGACCTGGGTTTCTTCCACCAGTTCCTTTGAGGGTGGAATGAAATAAATTAAACTGAGGGTATTTGTTGCCATACACCCATCTTTCAAGAAATACTAAAGAAAGTTCTTCAATGAAAAGGAAATTTATATAGGTCAGAATGTTGGATCTACATAAGTAAAGGAAATACATTAGAGATGGTATAAATGAAGTTAAAACATTTCATTTTTTCTTATTTGATCCAACATATTCAATGTTCAAAGCAATATATTATATATTATAGATAAAATTAATGATAAATATAATGAAGAATAGAATGGAAGGATTGGAAATGTTCTGTTAAAAAGGTATTTAAAATGTCCACTGAAGGGATATAATGTGATTTGGAAATGAGTTTAGGTTTAGTTGTAAATCTATATTTCAAATTCCAGGGCACCACTAAACACATTTAAACCTATAATTGATATGTCAAGAGAAGGGATAAAAATGAATAATAAAATGTATAATTAAACCAGCCATGTGCACTGGTGCACTCCTGTATTCCTAGCAACACAGGAGCCTTAGAGGATCGCAATTTTGAGGACAACCTCAGCAATTTAGTGATGTCATCAGCATCTTAGTGATATTCTGTACTGTGGGAGACCAACCTTGCACGTGACTGAGTCACACTCCCCGGCTGGGTGCTGAGGCACTTAGTCAGAGAAATGTGGCAGAGCTTTCCCCACCTTTCTTAGGTTCCAGGGTCAGTGCATGGGTGTGTCTTGCTACAGCCCCATGGGTGAAGCTATGCTCACCTGTTCCTTTGTAATATAACCCCTTGCCCTGTTTAGGATAGAATCTTCCATGGAAGTGCCTTGTGTGTGTCCCCTTCTCTTACTGTGCCCTTGGGTGTGGCCTACCCAGATGTCAGTCAACCTGCTGACAGTGGACATCATGAAGATAGACTCATGATAGACCCCCTGAAACCTGACCCCTTGCCTCATTTGAATAGCTTTCTCCTTAATAAAAGGGGTCAGCATGTGTGTGCTCTCTCTCTCTCTCTTCCTGTGGACCCTTAAGGTCAGAGGAGCCATCACAGTGACCCCAATAAAAAAGGTGTTTGTGTCTCTTGTGTGGTTGTTTTGTGCAGCCCAGTTAGCCCAGTTTTCCTGGAGTGACCCCTGAGCCTTTTAGTTTCGAGAACAGAAACCCAGCAATGTACCAAAATAAAAATTGAAAAAGTCTGGCAATGTAGCTCAGTGGTAAAGCATCCCTGGGTTTAATCCCCAGTACAAAAAACATTCAAGGCAGGAAAAATTAGAAAACAAAAAGATAAAGATAAAAGATCAAGGGCAACAAATAGAAAACAACTGCAAATACAGTAGCTATTAATACAATACCAATAGTCATTTTCAATGTCAATGGTCCAAATATATCAATTAAAACACAGAAACCATCAGAGTGTATTTTTGAAAAAGAACCAAATAGGGGGCTGGGGCTGTAGCTCAGTGGTAGAACACCTGCCTTGCACGTGTAAGGCACTGGGTTTGATCCTCAGCACCACATAAAAATAAATAAATGAAGATATTGAAAAAGGAAGAAAGAACCAAATCTGCCTTGTCTATTAGAAACTCATTTAAATATGAAGACACAAGATAATTTAGGCTATGTAAAGTGAAGTAGTAAAAACATGGAAAAAGATATATTTTGCTTAGTAGTAATCAAAACCAAGGTAATTTCAAACAAAGCAAACTTTAGGTAAATTATCAGATGATAATAGTAAAAAGATCAGTTCTCTAAGAACACAAAACATCCCACAATATGAGCATATCTAACAACAGTGTGTCAAGCTCTTTGATGTAGAAACTAATTAGAACTGCAAAAAAGAAATAGACGAATGCACTGTTGTACCTGGAGACTTCAAAACCCCTCTTTCTAATTGACAGAATCACAAAGCAGAAAACTAGTAAGGATGTAATAAACTGAACAGCATCCTTAACCAACTAGATCTAACTGACATTTAGAATAACGGGGAACTTCATCAACTGGATGAGGAACATTTACTAAAACTAAATGAACAGACCAATTTTATAGTTTATATCATACTTAATAAGAAGAAACTACATGCTTTGCCCCCAAGATGAGAAATAGGCAAGAATAACTCTCCCACTATTCTTATCTCCTATGTAACATTGTATTGTAAATCCTAAGTAATGAAATAAAATAGAAAAAAAAGATAAAAAGTATATAGATTGATAAGGAAGAATTATAAGTGCCTTGGTTCATATATGACATGACTGTGGAAAATCCCTAATAATCAATGTCAAAACAAAAGCAATTATAGCAAGGTTGCAGCATATAAATTAATATTAAAAAGTCAATTTTGTTCCCATACACCAGCTATTTGAACAATTGGAATTTGAAATTAAAAACAACACCATCTACATGGTGTCAAAAAAGTAAATACTTAGGCAGAAATCTAGCACAGTATGTGTAAGAGCTATATGAAGAAAAGCACAAAGCTCCTTTCAAATAAATCCAAGAAAATCTAAATAAATGGAGAGACATTCCATGTTTATGAATAGGAAAATACAATATTGTTAAGATTATCAGTTCTTTTAAACCTGATCTATAGATTCAATGAAATTCCATATAAAATTCCTGCAAGCTATTTCATAGATATTAGCAAACCAATACTACAGTTTTCATGGAAAGGCAGAAGATTCAGAATAACCAACATAATACAGAAGAAGAAAAACAAAAGAAAAGACAGACTACTTGACTTCAAGACCTACTGTAATGACACAGTAATCATGAGAGTGTGATATTGGTAAATATCATACAAATAGATCAACAAAAGGAATAGAGAAACCAAAATAGACCTACATAAATACGGTCAATTTATCTTTGATAAAGGCGCAAAGACTATTCAATTGAGACAGTCTTTAAACATTGCTAAACACAAATATCCACATTTTTTAAAAATCTAATCATAAACCTTATACCTGCCATAAAAACTAATTTAAAATAGATTACAATTCACCCATTGTAACAAGTACATTACTAATTCAATATTTTAATAGAAAAAAAATGTTGTTAGAAATAACGGGGTGCCCAGAAGAAATCATACACTGTGCTGGAAATAGGTGGGCAAGGCAAACCTTTACTTCTGAAAAAGAGTGTGGTCCCAAAGAGAATCCAAGTAAGCACACATGGGCAGCTGTTAACTAACATTTATCCCTAGCCAGGTATTGTCCTTTGCTCCTATTAGGAAGAGGTCAGGGGTACAATCTATGCTATTAGCTAATTTTAGAATTAAGGTCGGCAAAAAGGAAGGGCTACAATTGAATCCAATTAAGGCTGAATACTAGATGTTGAAAATGAACCACTACACTTTCTATTTCTCACAGTGGGGAGAAGCGTAAGGGAACTCTCTGTATTTTGGTGGTAAGGAAAGACACGAGAAGTCTCTGTATTTTATGCTCCATTTTTCTGTAAACCTAAAGAGGTCCAAAAATAAAAATATGTTAAAAAAAGAAGAAAAAAATCAATGGGAAGACTTTTTCAAACATCTGCAAATGTAGCCATGAGCAGGGGCACATGCCTGTAATCCTAGCGGCTCAGGAAGCTGAATCCTTCTAACTGCTTTATCATATATAGCAT